TTCTCTCATTCAAAATAAAAATTCATCAGCAGCATGATAGCTCTTCCTTTTTAGATTCAATTAAAACACATTATTTGAAAACAGGCTGTTTATCTACTATGAGCAACTAATGCACTAGAATCTGGCTCAGAATATAAAATATACAATGCTTCTAAAGAGTTAAAAATCTCACTTCAAAATTTTACGATATTTCCTGTTTTCAAGTTTTCATATACATTTATCATTGTCAATGACCTGCTGAGAAGCTCATAGGAATAGCAATAATAACGAAAGATTTCTACCTCAGCAAAAATTTGGAGCCTTCTTCTTCTTTTTTTTACTCAAGAGATCAACTTTCCATTAAAACGGAGCAACCAAGCTAAGTAATCAGAAGTATTCCTTTGATTTTGTTTTTAATGTAAGGTTTGAACTTCAAAATGGCATTTTTTTAATCCTTAGTTTTATTCATTACTTCAGGCTTTCTCCAATGTAAGAAGAGCTACTGTGAATTTGGAATCCTAAAATTCTATACATAATGGCTAAAATGATTTAAAGCAGAAAGTATTTAGTTGTACAGTATTTTGTTATTTATTGGTTATTTTCCCATTTTTCTAATGGCTTCTCATAAGATGTAGAAACGATAGAATTAGAAAAATCATCAAAACATTTTAGTTGATTACAATGTGGCCCACACAATTTAGCAGCTTCAAAAACACCTAAAAAGCTTGGATGTTTAAGAGGAACTATATTTAAAGTAAAACCAACAATTTATTTTTTTATCAGAAGTTTAAATATATGGTTAACATTAATATTACTAGTTATTTATTATCTGTAGAACAAGGCATTTACAATATCCAATTTTGGAAACTCAATAAAAGTTTAAATAAGTATTTCTTATGATTTAACAACATTAATCTGCCTGAAAATATTTTGAATCTACTGTATATCCCAAATAATGTTTAAAAAAGAATGCACATTGGATTTTCTGTGATGGTGCTGTAAGAAATTTGAGGGCTCTTTTAATTTATATGCTTTGTTCATTTTTCTTATGCTCCATATTGCTTTAGGAGCTCAAATTACATTAAATGATCAAACAGCCAAATGAAAAATCTTGCAGTAGTTGATGGGGAAAACCTGGAAGAAGGAGTGTTACATATATTCCCTTATAATCTTGGAGGATACAAACGTAACATAGAGCATGAGAAAACGGTATATCTGATATACTTATATATGAGTATAATATAAGGAAATCAGATATTGTAATGAATATGCACCTTATAATCATACTATTATTTGTCCAACAAATAAAATATATTTATAGTCATAGCTACATAACATGATAAAATTGTCCTATAGAAAGGTACAAAGTTTGAGAAAATATTTATTTCATACTGCTATTTTTCAGGCAGTATCCAATATTCTGTATATAGCTTATCTCTACATTCAAAAGTGATTCTGCTTTTGATATACAAAATAATTCATTATATATTTTTTAGATTTAGCTTGTTGTATTTTGTATGTTATGTACAGTAATGGATCTGGAAAATTGTAAAAACTGCCAATTTTTTTAAAACAGAAAAGTAGTTCCAGAAGCCTAATTTATAAGGAATTCTCTCTTGCTTGAACCTTTTTTTTTTTGAGGACTAAAAAAATCCAGTGGAACAACAACAGCAAGTGTTTCTTCCATATTTTCTTCCAGGCAGTTCTTAATTATGTTAATTCAGAGATATTGTAGCTAGGATAAGAGCTAGATTGAGCTACATAAACACACTTCTCGCCAATCAACCTTGTTCAACCTTCCTACTGGTAGCAATATTAAATAGTATATTCTGGAAAAATTGCAGAGATACAGGAGTTCAGATTTTGAAGTCATAATGGCTAAGCAAGAATAATTATACCTTAAAGCAGAGCTTTTCAACCTTTTCACCCATTGTACCACTTTTAGGATATAGCAACATCCGAGTACCACCAGTCGCCTAGCAAGGTGTCAAAAACTTGATGACCCCCCC